TCACTGACCTCTCTGATTATCTGTTTTCTCCTCTGTAAAAATGAGGAAGGCAGACTCTGAGGTTCCAGCTCCAAAGCTATTATCCCACGGCCCTGGCGAACATTTGGTCCAGCCCCCTCACTTTATAGAGGGGGAAACTGAGGCACTGAGAGGAAGAGGACTACTTTGGACTTCCATGCTGTATTTATTCCATAGACATTCATTAGCATTCTCTGTGTGCAGAGCCCTGGGTGGGCGGAGATAAAGAGTTTAGAGAAGACAAGCCCTGCCCAAAGGAGCTCAGTGTCTGCTAGGAGCTAGGCAGCTGGCCCTGTTAGCTGGAGCCCACAGGGGTCCATGATCCTGGCCTCTCAGGGACATGAAGGGCCCCTGGAGGGCAGACCGCTGGCCGAAGGGCTGGCTGGGCTTTAGTCTTGTCCTTCATCTGCTAGTGAGGAAACTTCCCGACTCGTTCCCTGGGTTTGACCCTTTAAGAGCGAAGTGTCAGCGATCTGTGTGTTTGATCTCTTTTCAGAGGGGGCGGCAGCACCTCTCCAACCTGGAGCCAGCCCCTGACTGCTCATTTTACACTGTGGCGGGTCGATGTGTGACGTCATGAAGTGAAATGTTGGGTTTAATTGCCGATAGTATCAAAGCCAGCAGGCGCCTTCCTGAGGCAGCATGGCGGAGGCAGGGCGTGGGCCTTCCCTTGGACACTTTTCATGTTGCTCCTGCTGCGCTCTGGTTTGTCCAGAGGCCTTTTGCAGGTTGTCTCCCTCGTTAGACCGTGAGCTCCTGAAGGACAGGGGCTGCCTTTTGCTTTTCTGGGTTTTGCCTGGCACATAGCAGGTGTTCCTGATTATTGACTAACTGACCCCCTTTCTCTGCCATGTAGACCAGGAGATCCAGCGTCACCTCTCTGAGCAGGAACGCGCTAGATAGCGTTTCTGACAATCGGTCACCCCACCTCTGCCGCACGCCTCCATGAATGGGAATGTGCCCACCCCCCACGGCAGCTGCTCTGGGCTTTGGTATAGGAGGCTTCTCGAGTTTGCCTCTGCAGCGTCCCTCTCCCAGGCCTGCTTCAGCAGGGCGGAAGCCCCGACGGCTTAGCGCTCAGTCTTCTCTCTGGCTCGCTGAAGCCTCCCCTGCAGAGCCAGCCCACGCCCTAAACCACCAGGCTGCTGCTCCTCCCCAGGGCTCAGCAGTCAGAGCTGCGGAGTTGCTCAGAGCTCTCCAGACCTGGCTTTGCCCCCTCGACTTCCCGGCAGGGAGAAGAAAGAGGCCAGTGTTCTGGCGGCCACTTTTCCTCTGTGGCCTAGAAGAACTCGCTCCCCCTTGATGTCATCTTCAAGCTCTGCAGGGGAAGGGAAGGGCCCCAGATGACCCATGGACTGCACGCACAGGGCCCGGCTGGGAGGAGCCATGCAGACCTCACCGCCCAGCTGGCCCCCACCTCCAGGCTCATGGACCCTATCTGGCCATTCTGGGGGATCTGAAACGTGAGCTTGCCGGGCTCCGGCCTCCATCCTGCTGTCAGGCGGATTCTTAAAAGCAAATTTAAGTTCCTGAATCTAAACTGGCTCTCCAGTGTGGCAAGATGATCTTTGCCCCCCAGCCTAAGCGACTCAGTCTCCCACTCGCCACAGTGACTTTGCCAGACCTTCCTGCAGCCTCCCACAGGTCTCCTTCCCCCCACCCTCTCAGCCCCATATTTTACTGAAAATTTTGACTCTATTAACCGAGAGCTGCTTCCTCTTCATTTTCCATCACACAGATGCCCTCTGCCATCATGGCCTCTTTCACTCAGGCAGGGGCAGCCCTTCTTGCCAAGGCAAACCCCTCTGCCACATGAACGGTCCCCTCTCGTCCTCTTGCCAGAAGGTCGCCTCTCCCCACTCAATCGTTTAGCCTCAGTCTGTCCCTGTGCACAGGCTGCTCTGTCCTGCCTCCTGCCTCCCCCCCCCCTTCTGTCCCCTCTCACCAGCGTCCCACATCTCTTCTCTCTCTGTTAACCTTGAGACTTGTGCCTGCCCTCGGGGCCTGCACACGCTCTGCCTTCACTCTTTGTAACTAAGGCCTGGCTCCTCACCTTATTGTTTCCCCCAAACTGCCCTCTCCAGAGGTACCGATGACCTTTCCCTGCCCAGTCCAGCGGCCCTTCCTCAGGCCTCAGCCTTCTTGGCCTCCCTGCAGCCTTGGACACAGCTGACCAGTCTGTCCTCTTGGACATTCGTTCGGGGTTTTCCTGCCGTCCCTCTCTCCTACTCCTTCCTCTGCCTCAGTCTCCTTGGCTGGATCTTCATCGGGGCCATGCCTGCTAAGTGTGGGTGTCTCCCAAGGCTCTGCCCTGGGCCCTTTTCTCTTCTCTGCACGTCATTGCACTTGGCGATCTCATCAGCTCCCAGGGATCCACTATGGTCTTTGTGCTGATAATCCTCACACCTGTTTGTTCAGCCCTGCCCTCTCTCCTGGTCTCCAGGTGCCTGGATCTCAAACCCGATATCCTGGAGATATCTAAAACTCAGTATGACCCAGCTTGAACTCATTATTTTACTCCCCCCAACTTTGATAACTTCCTCATTATCGTTGACGGGACCATCCGCCTCTGTCCCCCAGGTTCACAAACTTAAACACCATCCTTGAGGAGATTCCTTGCTAGCAGCCCCCCTCCGCTCTGTTACCAAGTCCTGTCAATTTTACTTCCATAACATCTCTTGACTATACCTCCTTCTCTCCTCTGCCCCTGCCACCACCTTGGTGCAATCCTTCATCTTCTCACACCTGGACTGTCACAATAACCTGCTCATGGGTCTGCCTGCTTCCAGTCTCTCTCCACTGCAATCTGTCCTCCACTCTGCTATCAAAGCCATCTTCTGAAAATGGGGGTTTGAGTCTTTCCTCCCCACCCCTCAAAAAGCTCCAGTGGCTTCTTATCACTTCCAGGGTCAAATGCTCAACGTTCAAAGTCCTTCATGACCGGGCCCCTTCCCACTTTTCCAATCTTCTTATACCTTACACGTACACACACCACACACACGTGCACACACATACCACATACACATACACACATACCACATGTACATACGCACACATGCACCACATATACATACCATACATGCACATGCCAAATACATACATACACACCACACATACATACGCACATCACACATACATACACACACACACCCCAACTCTCCCCTTAGTCTGTGATTCAGGGACACTGGCCTCCTTGCTGTTCCTCAAAAGAGTAGCTCCCTCTCCTGACGGGGGGGGGTGCATTTTTGCTGGCCGTCCCTCATGCTTGGAACTCTCTCCCTCAGCCTCGTCTCTGCCTCTTGACCTCCCTGGCTTCCTTCAGGCCTCCACTAATGTCCCATCTGCTACAGGAAGCCTTTCCCGACCCTCTCTCTGAGCTGATCTCCACTTTATCTCGTCTGTGTCCGGCTAATACACAGCTGTGAGCACGTTGTCTCCCCCACTAGACAGTGAGCTCCTTGCAGGCAGGGCCTGTCTTCTGCCTTTTTTGTATCTGCAGTAGCCGGCACGCAGCTGGTGCATAACAAACTGGTTGATTGACTGTTCTGCCAGCGGCCTTGTGGTTACCCACTCCTAAGGTCCTGGCTCTCTGGATTGAGGGTGAAAATCCATAGGGGGGCACAGGCAGGGTGGGGATGAGGGGAAGGAAGGAGCCAAACTGAGTGAGACAGTGAGAACTGAGCCGCAGGCCCACCCAGCATTTACCAAGAGTCTCCAGTGGCAGCGAAGGCAGTGGGGGCCTGGGACCTTCCCATAAGCCTCACCTCATCTCTTTCAATCTCACCACAGCCCTAGGGGAGAGCGACTGCAGGTCTTAGATACCGTTCTCACTTGGACGCCCATCGAGACTGAGGGACTTCACGCCACCTCCGAGTCTGAGAGTGATGACCACTTGGTAGTGGTCATTTAACGCAAGCATCTTCCAGAGGACTCGCCCTCCCCGGCGAGGGCTCATTCAGCCTCCCCTTGGAGACCAGGAGGAGGGAGAGCCCGCCCTCTCCACGCGCCTTCACTCGTGATAATGGTCTTGGGTTTCTCTAATGACACAGCTCATTTTGGTTGCTTCTCTTCTGTTCCGCTGCTCTATTTTTCCATTTTTAGGTGAGAAGGATAGAGACTGTCCTTGTGATTTCATTGGCATAAGAAGCTTTCCTATAAGGAAACGCCTTCTTTTCATGCAGTTTGCTGTATTATACTGTATAATTTAGGAATGTTGGGATGTGGTGATGGCACTGGGAGTTGAGAGAATTTCTTAGGGCCACAGGCAAGACTTGAACCCAGTTCTTCTGGCTCTGAGGTCCGCTGTCTGTTCACTGTCATATTTAACCAGACCATATACTTTTAGTTACTGTTCTCCTAAGGAAGTCTAATAATGCTACGCACTCTTGATTTCTACTTTTTCTCATTGCTTACTTCTATTTTCTTTTTTTCTTCCAAATGAATTTTAATATTTTCTCTCCTTTTCAAAAGTATCCCCTTAGCAGTTTGATAGAAAACAAAATCTTCTTTCCTGATGTTCTGAGTCTCCAAGCATATCATCATGCCATTTGCAAGTCATAAGCATTTTGTCTCCTTCTTCCCAACTTTTCATACCTTTTTTGGTTCGCTTGTGACTGTGGCTAATGTTTGTCTAATTCTGTCAATTCATTGTGGGGAAAGAGGCTTTTACAAATTTTTTGATCATTTTATTGTCTTATCTCTTTCTTGATCATGTTAGTTAATGGTTTAACCAGTTTTGTTAGGCTTTAAAAACAATCCTCCAAGTTTTGTTTTTCAGTTCTATATCCTTTCATTTTCAATGTTTTCTATCCCTTTAATTTTTTAAAATTTGATTTATTTTTTGTTCCATATCCCTTTCATTTAAAAGATGTCTTTATAGTTTGTTTGGGGGTGTCTTAATTTGTTTATTTTCTAGTTTCGCAACGTGCCTTGGTTTCCTTTTCTCTCCACGTCACCAGCCCCGCTTGATTTTCAGCCGAATAGCTGCAGCCACCTCCTGAGTGCCTCCTGGGATCTACTCTCCCTTCTCCAGGCCTTGCTCCGAGCCGCTGCCAAAGGACAGAGCTGCCCAGTCTCCAGAAGTTCCAGTGGGTCCCGGGATCCTTAGGGTAAATGCAGGGTCAGTATTAGGCGCCACCCGCACATCCTGGCTCGGGACTGGCTTCAGGGCTCCCTTCACGCTCCGTTCCAACCAAACTGACCTCTGGTATTCCTCAAGGCCTAGAGCAGATCACACATCGGCACCCAGGGCCAGGCTGTCTGCCGTGCTGGACGCGCCAGACACTTCTTACCTTCACTCTCCTTAGAGGTGGGAGCCGGCTTCCTTCCAAGCCTCGTTCAAATGCTGTTTCCTATGTGAGTCATTTCTTTGCCTGTTCCTTCCACCTCCCCCCATTGCTTTAACTCAGTTCAGAGATTCTTCTTCCTTGTTTATACTTTGTATTTCTTGTAGGCCTATTTGTTGTTTTCCCTGATAGAATGTAGCTCCTTGAAGGATGTCTGGGGTTCGGGGGACCAGCGCGTCTGGTGGGAGGGCTGCTCCCCCACCTTTGGTGCCCACTTGCCCCCCAGTCCTCACCTGTAGCTCCAAGAAGCTGCAGCCCACATAGCAGCCACACCCCGGTAAAACCGTCTCTGCAGAAGGCTTGAGGGTAACCAGCAGGTCAGTGGTGAGTTAGGAGGTGTCTACACCAAGCACGCCAAGACTTCTTCCAGCACAATGGGCTGATGGGAACAATCCGGCCATGCAGGCAGCTGAAGCGGGTGCTGCGGAGCGCCCAGAGCTTCACCAGACATGGTCATCCACTGTGTCCCAGGCCACCACCAGTCCTCTTGACTGTTGTCCCGCCACTGGACTTCGACGACCCTGGAAGACGGAGTGAGACCGAGGTCTTTGCCTGACTCTGCCTCGCTTCAGTCGGATCCACACGCAAGCCACAACATCACCCTGTGAGGTCCTCGGTCCTCCTCGAAATGAAGGGTGAACAACAGAAACAGCTGGCATTTACACAGGCTTTACGGTCTGGAAAGCGCTTTACAGGGAGCTTCACGTTTGTATTTTTGCATGGCTTCCTCATGTACCATTTTTAGAGTATTTTCGACCTAGATTTGCCTTTTTGCAGCTTCCCTCCCCTCGTGCTCCTGGTTCTGCTGTCCTGGGGCCAAGTAGGAGGAGGCTGCTCTCTCCTCCATGTTTTAGCCCCTCAAAGACTTGGTCATAGCTCTCATGTCCCCCCAAACCTTCCATCTCCAGGCTAACCGTGCTCATCCCCATCAGCTGCTCCTCCAGGCCCTTCGCCATCCTGATTACCCTCCCCTGGACACCCTCCAGGCAGCCAGTGGTGCTTCAGTGGATAGAGAGTGCTGGAGTCAGGAAGACCTGAGTTCAAATCCGGCCTCAGACACTTCCTAGCTGCTGACCCTAGGCAAGTCACTTCACCTCATTTGCCTCTGTTTCCTCATCTATAAAGGGAGCTGGAAGAGGAAATGGCAAACCACTCCAATATCTTTGCCAAGAAGACCCTGAACGGGGTCATGAAGAGTCAGCTGGCGCTGAAATAACTGAATAACAACAACAACAGAGATACTCTCTAGCTTATCAGTGTCCTTCTTAAACGGGGTCCTGGAACTGACCACATAGGGCTCCAGGTGCTATGACGAGACTTGGCCACTGCTAAGTTTCCAAGGCAGGATTTGAACCCTGGTCTTCCTGACTCCAAGGTCAGCCTTCTACCCACTGCCCCGAATAACTTACTGTTTGCAAGGTGCTAGCAGTGCAAAAATAAAAAAGACAGCCCATGCCCATTGATGGTGTAGTACGGGAGTGACTGTGAAGACAAGGGCAAATAACTAGAATTCAAGATCAGTCAGTCAATCAGCAAACATTTATTAAGCACCTACTATGAGCCAGGCCCTAGGCTAAGTTCTGGGGACACAAAAAAGACAAAAACCCAGCACCTGCCCTGAAGGAGCTCACAGTATAAAGGGGGCCACCGTTTGCAAACAATTACATACAAAATATACACGGTGTAAATGGAAGATAATCTCAGACAGAGGTCTCTGGCAATGGAGAGGACAGAGAAGGGCTGAGGGTGATTTGGTGCCTGGGAGCTGAGGAAAGGGGGCTCATGAAGCTGGAGAGACTGAGCAAGGCTTCTGGGCAAAGGAGGCCTTGAAAGAAGAGCGGGGGAGGGGAAAGGGACACGTGCAGAAGCAAGCATGGGAGGGCTCCGTTCAGCCATGGAGGCAGATCACAGGATGCTTGGGGCAGTGGGGCAGCTGTGGTGCCCAGAGCACAGACTGTGGAAAGGAAGGCTGGAAAGGTGGTTTGGAGCCAGAGCGTGAGGGTCTGTGGAATGCTGGGCTGAGGTGCACAGAATAGACCAGAAACTGTTTTGTGCCCCAAGGAGGTTTCAGTATTAGCTTTGCAGCTGATTGTGACCGTGGTTGGAAGCTAAGGCACCGATTCTGTTAATTCTGTGTTTTCACCTGAAGGCGGAAGGGAGCCAGCGAAGGTGACAGGGTAGTGATGCTCTGAGACCATCCTGCCCTCAGTATGTGTCATCAGCTCAAACAGGGAAGCTGAGCAGCAGCTGACCAAAGGTGGTCACTGCTGTAGAGCGATGGAGAGGACCCCGCAGAGAGGTCCACTTCCTTTGGATGATGAGGCCCTCCTCCTAGTGTTCCCATCTTCACATGACCTTGTGCCAATTAAATCATGCCCTTCTGAAACAGTGCTGCACCTTCTGGAGAAATACATGACCACTGAAGAAGAGTTTGCTAACCATCCACACAGGAAAAACCAAGTGGATGAAGACTTTCTGTTGTTCAGTTAATGACATGCAGTTAGAAGGAGAGCTATTCTGTGTCTCTCCCTAAACAGACAGAGACAGATGGAAAGCAAGCTGGGCCCAGAATTAAACAGGAGGAAGAGGTGGCAGATTTACCTTTGGTAAATTACAGAATTCCTTTAATTATTTCCAAGTTTTCCCAGAAAGGGTGGTTCATCTCTTTAACACTAATTATTATTAATGGTATTATTATGGCATTAATATGTCTGTGGGACATGGACCGCCAGTCTTCAGAGACCTAAAAATGTGTATAACCCAGAGACCTGTGAGGGGCTTATGGTGGGTAGATGTGTCAGTCAGTCAATAAGCATTTATTAAATGCCTCCTGTATACCGTGCGCTATGGTAAGGGGGGCTACAAAGGCTGAAAATAGCCTCTGCCCTTCAGGCATTCCCATTCCACATTTGTGATAGAGATCAGCAGAAAGAGATTGGCCCTTTGCCAATGGATGGGATGGATAGAATGGATGGGATGACAGTCATTGGTAACGGGCACAGGCCAACCTGCTCAGTTCCTGTTTTGAGGATATGTCTCCCTCTAGCTGTTTTCCACCTTCTCTCAAATTACCCCTTCTAGAATGTCTGCAGGAATCAAAGTCAAGGTCTCTGGCCTATAGTTTGCAAACTGTTCTCTTCCCAGTTTTTGAATGTCACAAAGTCCTATACAGATCGCTTCAGGAGTGGTGAAGGGCAGCATGATCTAAGGCTGACTCATCCTTCTCTCTCCCACCCCCCTGCTTGGACTGCACTCCCTCCTCACTTCCAGTTTCTAGTACCTCCCACTCATCAGAGCTGAGCTCATGTCACCCTCTATGTGACGCCCTTACCGATCTCTCTAGAAGCCAGTGCCTTCCCCCACAAATTACCTTGACTCGATTTTGTATCTAGCAAAGAGAAGGTGAGTCTGAGGGCTGGGGCGCTTGCCCTACCCTGTATATACCCAGCCATTGTTGTTTGTGGGACAGGTTCAGTCCTGGGGAAGCCCGATCTTAATTGGGGAGGGCGTGTTAGTCTCCCATTCTCCCTGCTGATGGCTTAGTAATTTCCCAGCCCTGGCATACTGGGGTGTTGCTAATTACAGTAATAATTGCGGTTTGAAAGTCTAAGGGGGTTCCCCAATTGGGGAAGGGACGCTAAGGGAGGTACTCAGTGTAGAATAGGAATCAGGTTTGGGACAGGTACTTTATTCCTGCACAGAAAGAAATGATAAAAATGGGAGAATTTCAGCATGCATTAACAGAATGAACATGATTCAGTACCTTAGCTTTTAACCATGGTCACAATCAGCTGCAAAGCTAATATTTAAACCTTCTCGGGGCATGAAACAGTGTCCAGGATGGCCGATAGCCAAATGACATTTCACCTCAGCTGGGCACTGTATCGTCCAACAGCCAGACTTGGCTCAGTCTTTGTTCTAGGGGCTGACACCGAAGGGTCTCTCTTCTTTCCTGTGTCACAGAAGGTCGCAGGGATGACCTTCAACCTCGGATGCTCTGGGGACATGACAGTCGCTGTCCTCCGGGCCTCCCAGGACCTTCAGGCCTTTCACCACCGATTGTGAATATTTCCACCATGGGATAATCTTTCTCCGCAGATGAGTAAAAAAACCGATCGAAAAAGAGGCAGCTGGGGAGCCTTGGGTGCAGTCTTGCCCAGCTGGGTCCCCCGGGGGCAGCCAGGGGGTGGCCATGATAGCAGACAAGGACATGGGCATCGTTCTTCTGACTCTGCCTCAGTCTTCCCGGGCTGCTTTGGATTCTTCATCATCATAGATGCTTGTGAAAGTCATATTCTGTCGGTCCTTCTTAGAGACTTGGAGCAGTCCTTCATCTGGTTCCTAACTTGGCTTTTCTCTTGAGACTTGCGTGTTCAGGTCTCAGAGTTGAGACATCTTTCCTGTGACTCTGGCCCCTGGGGATAGCTCTTAGTCACAGATATTCTGTGAATTCCCCATCTCTGGCCAGCAGATACTTACTTGAGATATTTGCTTCCAGGAGCTTTCCCCCTAGATGACAGCGGAGGCAATATTGTCACTAATCTCAAGGTTGCCAGGAAGCAAACACACTAGGATCCAAAGCCATTATTCTATCTTATTTCTAATTTTGTATTACTTAACTTTTCAATATTGAGTGTTTGATCTCTCCATCTGTTATTCCTGCCTTGATGTAATTTTCATTTAAACATTGACTGATGTCTTTATTTGTAGCCCAGTCATTTTCGGATAGTCCTTACCCCCACTGAAATCTCTTCCTTGTAACCCAGAAAAAGCC